GTGTGCGACGGGGGAAGATCCCCCAGTTTGTGCCTGAGCTCGTGTGGGCGACCATTCCCAGCGAGCAGCGCTGCGGCAGTGACGGAGCGCGAGGCCCGAGCCCTGGGCCCTTGTGCCGCGCATCCCTGCGGATTGTCCGCCTCGGGAGAAGCAGCAACGCGGGGCACTTGCAGCCTCTCGCTGGCGTGTGAGGTAAGCTGCCTTCCGCAGGCAGGAAAGAGAGCATATGGCCCAGGGTGTTGATTTCCCAGCCAGGCTCCTTTCAGGCTTGGCAAATTGCGTGCTCCTTGCTGAGGATCAAGGCAAGTGCCAAGTCTGAATTTCTGAAAATGAAAGGGATTTCATTTATCACAGCACAGGGAAAAGGATCTGAAAAATGTCCTTAAGCGTGTTTAAAAAAAAAAAAAAAAAAAAAAAAACACCTTTTGTTTGCGCTCGAACAAAACAAGCACGGGGACTGTTAACAGAATTCCCCGTGGAGCGAAGGAGCGGGTGCGGATGCTCCAGCCATTGCGGCTGCGGCTCCGTGATGCCCACGGGGACACAGGGATATGGTGCAGGCCCCGGCCGTTAGACAAGGGCGCTGCCTGCGCAGGCTCAGCCTTGCTGCCAGGGAGCTCCTAAAATTAGGCACCTTCTCCTCGCAGCCCCGCGTTTCTTCCCGTACGTGCTAGCGGCTTTTCTTTCTCTTACGGCATTTATTTTTATTGCATCGTTTTCCCTCTGTTGCCGCTCTTCATTGGCCCCGTGCGACTGTTGGTTTAAACCATTTGCTTGCTTTCATCTTCCATTTTTCTTCTCTCTGCCTTCTCAGGGGCTCTCTATCCGTGGTTATCCTTGCGCTGCGCGTTAACCCTCCTCCCTGCTGCTCCGGGATGCTCTCAGAGGGGACATCGATTCCGGTTAAACCCTTTAGCAGTGGCGTTTTCTGAAAGGCACCGGCTCGCGGGTCCCTTGAGACGCAGCCGAGCGGCAGGGCAGGTACCCGGGGAGGGACATCGGGGCGCAGGAGGGAAGCGGCTCTGTGGGGAGCTGCTCGTGTGGGGCACGGGAACGCTCAGCCCCAAAGCCGTGGTAGCAAACAGTAACACCATTTGGAGGCGGCGTTTCCAAATCCATGAGCCGCAGGGTAAAATTGCCAACTGGTTGGCCTTGCGTTCTTCGAGATAAACTTTTGATGGTCCTTTGCTGATAAATGGCATTAAAAAAAAAAAAAACTACTTGTTTTAGTATGCTGCATTGAATAGTTTGTCGCCAAAAATAAGGAAATTGCTCTCCGATGAACAAACCAATACACAGAAATAATAGTTTGATGGATAGTATTTGGAGTGTGGAAAGAATAAACTGCATCGCGGCCATGGGGAGGAGAGATGCAGGGGAAGGGAGGTGAAGGGCAAACAAATGGGCTGCAGGCAGGGGTCTGGTGTCAAACATCAGAGGGATCTTGTTGGCTCCCACGCTGTGGGAAAGACCCTGGCAACGAGGGGCTGGAGCGAGCGGTGGGATTTGCAGAGCCCTTGGAGGCGGAGAGGAAAACAGAGTCTGAAACGAATGGCTCTCAGTTCCCGTCGTCGGTCAGGCGGTACCGTCTGCCAGAGGTGGCTGCGCTCTGGGCTGCCTGGTTCAGAGACAGGGATTAAGATCCCTGCCACACACAGCAAGTGACAGCATCGCAAGGCTTTTAATAGGAATATTTCTGGGAAAACGTAGGATTTTGCTTTTAGCATGCTTGGAAAACACTGGTTGCAGGTGATGTTTTACTATAACATAGAATTTGGAAGCACAGTAATATTTTTCATCACAGGAGTGGGCTGGACCCCCCTTCTTTTTTTCTTTTATATGTAGTCTTTGTTTTTAATTATTTTATTTTTAATGTGCGCCCCAGGAGCCCCTACGAGCCGCAGCGTAAGGGGGCAGTGACTGTCATGTTAGCACGGGGCAGTGCCCGAGTGCCGGCTGCGTGTGCGGGTGCCGGGCAGGCGCGGATGGCGCTGTCGGAGGCAGGGTCCGGCAGCGCCGCTCTGTCCTGTGCATCACAGGCCATTAAGCTGCAGCGCCGAGTTGTGTTTATCCGGAAAGGCTGTCATCTCCGGAGACATCAAAAAAGGGAGATCTGGCGTTTCTGATGGGTAATGGAATCACGGGATAAAAATGTGATTCTTGTGGCTGATTTGAATCTGTCTGAGCTTCCAGCCCTTGTATCTGGCTTTGCCTTCTTCACTAGATAAAAGAAGTCTTTAAAGCATTCCTTTCCCCGTGAAGGTATTTTTATATGCCGTGGTCAAAGCATCCCTCGGTTTCTTTGTGGCAGGCTAAATGGATGAGCTCTTTAAGTCACTCACTGGAAGACACTTGCTGCCTCAAATCATTTTGTGACTTCTTTTTCTGCTCTGCTGCTAAAACGCAGACACCTGGCTGCATTCATTTTTCCTAGTGTCATCCTTCCAAAGCAGTGCGCAGGATAAAGTCAAGCCACCTCCTGGCTTCCATTTGCTGTTCTGCTCTTTATAGCTTCAGGGATCGCGTTGGTCCACGCGCCGCGGAGGGCAGGGGCAGTTCACGCAGGGTTGCTCATCCCCTTCGCACTCCCGTGTGCGGGAGTCTCCGTGAGGGAAGCCTGGCTTTGTGCCCGCTCCTAAAGCCGGGCCCAGGAGGGTTAGCGCTGCACTTGGGCGAAGGTGCCGCCTGGGAGCGGCGCGGCGGCGGGAGCGACATCCTTGCGCCCATCCTCGCGCTTCCTCCCGCTGCTGGGCAGCGCAGCGGCTGCGCCGCGGCCGGCGGAGCTCCTGCGGAGCCGGCTTCCTCGGCAAGCTCCGGAATTCGCTCCTTGCGTAGTGCGGTGCGCGAGCGAGTGCCTCCTGCGGCGTTACCCCCGGGCTGCGGTTTCCCTCTGCTCCGTCTCCGTGCGTGGTGTGTGTTTGGAAGCGGCTGCAGCGAGGGGCATGCTGCAGCGCCCGAGGCTCCCCGGGGCTCCCGGCGATGCCGCCTCTCCACGGCCCTCTCGCTCCCGGCTCTCTCATCCCCCCTTGTCTTCTCCCTCGCAGCGGGGGGCTCCGCCGTGGGGCAGCGCGGCACCGCTCCTGCCTATAAGTGGAAGCAGTTGGCCCCTCTCCCAGCGTAGCACAAGGTAGTCCTGTGGATCAGTTGTGCAATCTCCAGCTGGATGGCTCCGGAATAGGGAGGAATAGGGGGCGGCAGGAAAGGAGCCTTTGGGGGGCTCTGCTGGGGCTGCCCGTGGCCCCACAAGGAGGGCACACGGGTGGGGAGAAGGGCTCGGCGGAGGCGCAGCCCCACGGTGCAGCATCCGCGAGAGGAAACCCTCCAGCCAGGGCGTCTGGTGAAAGGAGAGTAAAAAGCTGGAGAGACGAAATCCCCGAGAGCTGCCTTTCAGCAGAGGGGCCTTCGGGGAACGTCTCTGCAAAGCAGAGATGCGGGCAATTTGTGTTTTCTTGCTGTTTCCTCAAAAGAGTCCTTGAAAAGCTGACCTTCATGCAGAAGGGCTAATTTCTCAAGCTGCCCTCGACCATTGATTTTAACCCTTGTGCTGATGAGGCTTTTGGGATCGTAAGATTACTTTTCCATAGTTTTCCGTTCTCACAGTCACTGGCATTACACAAACCATCCATGAAGCAGCTGGACCCAAGCCTTACCCTGGAGTGTCTGTTGACGAGAAGCCTGAGGTGAAACGGGCCCTTTCCACCACATTTTTGGAGGTGGTGCCCGAGCGCTCAGCACTTGGTGCAGGGGATGCCCTGGCCGGGCACAGCCACGAGAGCCTCCGGGGGCTATTGATACACCAGACCGGGTGACAGGGATCAATCACCCTGCTCACCGCCGACAACTTGCACAGAGGATGCTTCAAGCTTGACTTTTGGCTGTCAGTGCTTGATCCCTCCCAGTGTGCCTGCCCTCCTGGCACCCGCTTGTTCTCTTCCCAGCCTTCCCAGCATGGGTTTCTGTGCAGACATGTAAAACTACTTGTCCATATTGCAGCCAGCTGCTGCCCTGAGGATGATTCCCACCGGGGACTGAATCCTGGTACAGGTCTGTGGTGCCCCGTGCCTGTATCCACCCGGGATGCAGGCTGCCCTGGCTGCCACAGGAGACACCACTACTTCTGTTTCTCTCCTGTTAGCGTTTCTTTCTTTAAGAACAAACTGCTGGCGCTTTAGGGCAGGGCTGGATTAGGCGGGGGGTAATCCCGGGATTACCCCGCGGGTGACCCCCGGCTCGGCAGCCCTCTGCGCTGGTGTCGTGCAGCCAGCAAGCCCTTCCTCCCCCGCCATCCTCCTCCTCCTCAGCGCTCTGTGGGCAGGCAGCACCACCTGCCGGCTCCGGGCGCTGCTCCGATGTTCACTTTAAGAGATTTTGTAGTTTATCCCATGCCCTTTTATCCTTGCTTTCCCTTTTTTTCCTCCCCTTGTTTTTTGTTTTTTGCTTGGTTTTGCTTTTGCCTTTTTCCCCATTGCTAGAAGGCTGCAGACTGGGCTCGGAACAGGTCTGCGGCATCGCGTGGGTCCCGCATCGCGGCAGCTCCGGGGTGGCAGTCGGAAATAAGCATATTGCATGGTTAAATTCGCAGCTCCTGGCACTATGCGATATAAAGGGAACCCATGCTGCTGGCTTTCACTGTGCAGTGTGTGTGCCTAAGACACCAGCTCCTGCATCCAGAGGATTATGTGAAAAAAACTGTCATGGAGAAGGGGAAGGAAGGGGAAAAAGAGGGATATGTGTGTCTGGCTTCCATAATGATGGAGAAAGAAGCTGTTGGAACGTGGCTCAAATGTGCCTGCGCTGAGTGAAAACGAAGCAAGTACGTGGCTTGGCTGTGTGCTGTCAGTGTCTGTGAGGCGGCCTTGCCACCTCTGTCTGTGCGAGGGGCACGCGGAGCCCGAGGCGGGCGCGCGCGGCGGGAGGGCAGCGGAGGCCGGCGCGCGCTCCGTGCGGGCCCCGGCGTGTCCCCGCGCGGTAACGAGGCCTCTCCGTGTGTCCCGGCGCAGGAGCAGCAGCAGGCGGGCCCGTCCCGCGCGGCGGGGCCCGTGCAGCCCGCGCCGGCGGCCCCCGGCGCTCCCGCCTTCCTGGGCAGCGCGCCGCAGGCGGCCCTCATGAAGCACATGCTGATGGAGCAGAGGGCCCAGCTGCACGTCATGGAGCAGCAGAAGCAGCAGTTCCTGCGGGAGCACAGGCAGCAGCAGCAGCAGCAGATCCTCGCGGAGCAGGTACGGTGTCGCTGCCTTCCGGGCACGGCCGCACGGGCTGGTGTGAGAGCAAAGCGTGGGGCACGGGGCACTAAATGTTCTCACTAGGCAGTAGTTGCTTTAGCCCTGCTTCACCGCCCGTGCTGGGAGGTTGTAGGTTAAAATCTGGGCTCCCGTTTAATTTCAGCTGGAGCTTGTTCCTACTGTGGCACTACTGAAATATTTCTAGTCCTCATTTCTCCCTTCTTCTTCTTGCAAGAAATGGGAAGTTTCCCCATAGTGAGCAAGGAGGACACCTCTTGAGGTGTTCGGGGGAAAGGTGCATGGGTTTGGTCAGAGGTGAGCAAGTGCTGAAGAATGAGGATGCCTTAACACTCTCCCATGGGTTAGGCCACTGCAACTGCTTAAACCCAACTCACAGACCTGGCTATTGAAGGCACGTCTAGAAGTGCTGAAGAACTGTAGGACTGTGCTGCTAAATGTGCTGGATGCAGATGAAAAGCATTTAAGCCACAGTCCATAGGCACCCTGCTTTTCGGGAGCTTTGTGCCTAGTAAAGTTCCCTTTATCTTGTTGATAGTTTGTAACAAGCTTTATTGAGCATGAGGATTTGGTATTTGCTACTTTGTCTTTGCTGTTCCCTGACCTTTTTACCCAGCCTTGCTTTTGGACACAGAATTTGTCCTTAGTCACCTGCTTAGTCAAATACAGCCCAGTCTTTGAAAGCACTGATAGGCACACACTCTGCTTTTGTAATGAACCACTGATTGTGTTTTACACACATTAATATTCATAGAAAACAACCACAGGAGAACAGATTGAGCTGGATCAAGGGATGAAAACATTTTGCCATCACCTGCTCCTCATATATCATTCAATGAATCAGAAGAGGAAAAAAAAAGTGCCTCAGTAGCCCCTTTCTGTTTGCCTGGAGAATGGTTCTAGGCCACAGCACTGAGTTTGGGATGCCCTGCTCATTGCAGCTGAGAGTTTGGAGAGCAGAGCTGGCATAGGCCCTGTACCAGGATTACCTGCCTCTAGACCTTGGCAAGACTGGGGGAGGAAAAGGACGTATGGTCACAGTTGTACTTCAGACCTAGGCGTGCAGTTGTCTCCTGTGCTTCTCTCCCTCTTTTTCTTTCCGCTAAAAAGATAACTAAGTTTGCACTTCAGAGGTCAAAGTGAAGAGCTTGTAAGTCAAGAGAGCTGATGTTAGCCTCAGTGCTTATTCCTCTTTGAACCAAGAGGAGTCCATGTGCTGAGTAGCCCAAGTACTCTCAGAAGGACTCTTCAGATGAGTCTGCCGGTCTCTTGAGAACAGCTTGCTAGAAAATGCTGCTGCTTTGCTGCAGTACTTTCGTCATCAGCCCTTTTCTTAGCTTGCTAATTAATTAATCATCTCTTTCTCATTTGTGGTTTTTTTTTTTTCCTCATTCATTTTCAGCAGTTGCAGCAGCAGTCCCATTTGCCTCGGCAGCACCTCCAGCAGCAGCGGAACCCGTACCCAGTGCAACAGGTCAATCAATTTCAAGGTAAAACCAAATCCTTTTCCCCATACTGGAGTCAGCACATGCCCCTACAGCAGGCATGTGCAAGGTTGTTCATGTGGTGAAGGCCAGGGGTTAAGCAGTGTGCCTGAGCAAGAGGCACTTATTTCAGTGTGCAAGTAACTGAGGAACAACTCATGGATAAAAAATTTGGTTTAGGAAAAAAGTTAACTCTAAGCTTTTTAAGTACAAAGCATCAGCTGAATGTCTTCACTCGCCATGAAGTGAATATGTAAATACACACAGATTTGTGTATTTGTAAAGACACCACATTTGTGCTGTGTATTCCTGGCAGTGCTGAGCGCTGCAATAAAAAACAAGTGGGGCAAGCACGTGGGGCAGGTCCAGCATCCAGGTAATGGAGAGACAGCCAGCTTTTCTGCTGGTCTTTGACAGAGTAGCTCTACAGATCACCTTCTAATTCTTATCTTTGGCAGAAGAACTTATATATGAAATGAAAATGTTCTCAATAATTCATCTGCAAAATCAAAATGTGTGTTTGCACCATCACACATTTATTGAGAATCACATGTAAACTTCCTTCTATGAGACCTTTTTTGAAAATATGCCTTCACATCTCTTATTTAAAAGAAATGTAGAGCAGAGTTTAGGCTAATCTGACCAAATAGAGAAATACTTTTCATAAACGAGCTAATTTAAATATAAATATGAAATCCTTTTTTTCTATTTAGTCACAAGAATGTAATCCAGTGCAGCAGGTTATGAGTAAGTGAGACCAGAAGGTGGCCTATAGTCTTAAAAGCTGTTGCATCTCTCTTTTAACTACTTCTTGTCTAACTGCTGTGTCAAACAGTAGGTCACGAAACTATGTGAACTACTTGCTGATAGGGACTCTTCTGGAGGTTTTCAAGTGCTGAGTTCAATTCCAAGATAGCTAACAGTATGTTAAATAATCCTTAACATTATTCATGTACTTAAGCACTTGCTGGAGCCACTGTAAAAAGTTACATCTTCTACTCATGAAAGAAAGAAAAAGAAGTGACAACCATTGAGAAAATAGTTTAAATGATAGCACTGGTATAGTAAAAGCTACCATGAAAATGTCCTGGTAACCCAATTTAAGTTTAAACCAAATGGACAATGCATGCACTATACAACTGAGATCCATATAGTCCCTCTTAATGCTTTATTATCTATATGCTGGAGAGTTGACCTGGGAGCATCCTCCAGAAGTTTTGCCAGCCTCCAGAAGTCAAAAGAAGGAGATGTAGCCATTCACTTTGTCCTGTGTACAAAACTGTATGAGAGGCATTTCCTTTATCCATGACCATTTCTGAAAGAAATCTAGATAATGTAATACCAGCAGGGCCTGGTCATCAATATTCTGATATTCAGGCATGTTCCATGGCTGAGGAACAACTGGTAGGGGTTGATTTAAGAACAATCTGATTTTGTTGTGTAGTTTATGACTCTTAGCCAACTTTTTGTGTTTACATCTAATGATGTGTGAGCTGGGCCTGTCTGTATCGTTCTCTTGGAGCTTCACCTGCAGACTGTTTTATTGTTTTAGTTTACTGTGGTATTGACTCGAAACCACAATGAACCTGTGGCACAATCAGAGCTCCCGTAATTGTTTTTAAATAAAGAAAGTAAATACAGAAGTATATTGGCTTCCCGGAAATCTATAACTTCCCCCTGCCTCCCTCCCACAAAAGAAGACACTGGCATAGTGCAGTTTTGTGCCAGGGTGTGGAATTTAACAAGGTTAGGATTTTCTGGTTTCCCATCACTGGCCTAACGTGGAGTAAAATGTGCTTATAATATTGATTCACTAATTCACTCTCCCTGCTTTAAAAGTCCACAAAAAAAAACAATTTTTCTTCTTTGCGTAGACTTAAGCAGTAACAATGATATAGAAAATCCATTCATTATGCCTCCTGAGCTATTAAAAAATTGATTGGCCTTCTGAGCCTGACATTTCCATTTTCAGGACTTTCTTTTGAAAGACAATGGAGTTATTTAAGAGAGAACTTCAAACAGTTCAGCTGTTTTTGCTTCTGTTGAAGGCCACGGGAAGTTTTCTTGTTTGCTCGGTGGGAGCTGCATCAGGCTTCTCTGAGCAAGATAAATGCTACCAAAGTGCATTTTGGATTTGTGTGTGTGTGTGTGTATGTGCATGACTTCAAAAGTCTTATGGACTGATTTTTCACATGGAGAGGACGGTACCTTCTGGTACCATCTTCTGGCACTGGTCTTTGCGGGGAGGAGGGGGAAGAAAAGACACACAGGAAGAAAAAGCCTCAAATTCACTTTTGAAATAGGAATCTTTTGGGGCTCATGCATTACACGTGGAATCAGGTTGTGTTGTTACTTCAGGAACCCAAAGCCATCAATATTTTGGGATACAAATCCTGATTTTTTTATAACCAAGACGTGTTTAATGCTTAAATCATTGGTGTTTTAACCTTGCCAGCCCCATTGTAGGCCTTTGGGGAAATTAGGCTGATGGGTCTGTATTGATAGGATTCTCTACTGAACAGTGGCCCGTTTCACAAATTGAATGCATGGTATGATGAATGACTGCTGCTGAGGAGGAGTCCAAGGAGTCCTGCTCCAAATGTGTTGTTCCTGACCCTCGAGGAGAGGAGACTTGGCCGGGGAGGACTGAGGTTGCTGTCAGGATGATGCGGGAAACACACAACCTCTGAGATGTGGCCAACAATAGACTGCAAGTGGATAATCCAAGGCCATGTCAAGGTGGATAGCCTTGCGGCTCTCTGCCAGCCTTCACATGAAGGAATAAGTTATTCGCTCAGGAAGCACAGTGCTCTGGAACGCTTCTGGGCTGTGGGAGACTCCTGCAGGTTCTCCCCAATGCCGAGATGTGTCAATGGATGTAGAAGGTTGCGTTCCTTTCTAACCTTGCCGCTGTTTGTCGCAGGTTCTCCGCAGGACATGGCCGCGGTGCGGAGCCAGGCAGCGCTGCAGAGCATGAGGACGTCGCGACTGATGGCTCAGAACGCCCCCATGATGGCAATGGGTCCCTCGCAGAGCCCGGGCACGCTGCCCGCCGCCGCTGGCCAGTCGGACATGGGCATGGCCCCTTACAGCAACGCCTCCTCCAGCCAGCCGGGAATGTACAGCGTGAGCACAGGGATGAGCCAAATGTTGCAGCACGCAAACCAAAGTGGCATGAACATGGCACATGGCGCGGGCCAGGGAGCGAGGCAGCCTGCCTCGGCGCAGGCGGTGGGAATGGTCAACAGTTTTGGGCAGAACGTGCTGGTAAACTCTGCTCTGCCTCAACATCAGCAGCAGGTGAAAGGACCTGTGGGCCAGGCCTTGCCCAGGCCCCAAGCACCACGACTTCAAAACCTGATGGGGACTGTCCCTCAGGGAACACAAAACTGGCCGCAGCGAGGCCTGCAAGGCATTCCTGGAAGGACTAGCAGTGAAATGGGGCCCTTCAATAACGGTACCGCCTACCCAGTGCAGCCCGGTCAGCCACGGCTGTCCAAGCAGCATTTTCCACAGGGACTTAATCAGACGGTGTTGGACGCTAGTGGGACAGTGAGGGCCCTGAACCCAGCAATGGGGAGACAACTGCTGCAGCCACTACCTGGACAACAAGGCCCTGGCCAGACCAGGCCGATGGTGATGCCTGCAGTAAGCCAAGGGGTCCCCGCTATGCCTGGCTTTAGTCAGCCTCCTACACAGCAGGTGCCAGGCGGCAACTTTGCCCAGAGCAGCCAAGGCCAGGCCTACGAGAGGAACCCCGCTCAGGACCTGTCTTACAATTACAGCAACGAAGGAGCAGGGGGGTCGTTCTCCGGTTTAGGAGAGGGCACGGACCTTGTGGACTCCATCATGAAGAGCGGACCAGGGGATGAGTGGATACAAGAACTGGATGAGTTGTTTGGAAACCCCCAGTGAACGGGCTTGTATAGTCTGGAGCTCTGGTTGTTACTTCCTTTTCTTTGTTTTTTTTTTAAGGCAAAGTTGGGTATTCTCTCCGTCTTTGGATTGTTGTTATTTTGGTTTGAGTTGGTTTGGATTGGGATTATTTTGTTTGTCTTCTTTTTTTCTTAATCGTGCAAATTGAGCTAATCTGTAGCCAACTTGGGAAGATTCAGGTGATGCTGAAAATGCCAGCACCACAAAACCTTCCACCAAGTAATCCCTATTGCACAGCAGCCTCCGCTGCATGCCTATGGAGCCGCACAGGGAAACGGGAAGAAACAGTCGATGTCTCTGGTGGAGTAAAGTCGGTGTTTCCCATTGCACAGAGATACGAGGCGGTCCCAGCACCTCCCAGCTCATTCTGCTGTAAACACCGCAACGTTCAGGGCACTGCATGAGGAGCATGGGAGCAAACCCTAAAGAAAGAAGCCTGCGGGTGCTTGCACAGGCCCTGGTCAGGAGGAGGCTTGACCCTGGGGTAGGGCCTCAGCGAGCCGCGCTCAGGTCAGCCACCGTGCTCACTGCAGAGTGAAGGGACCTGTGAAGATGCAGCAGAACATGAATTTGGTGGTGCTTAGCTAGGTGGGTTAACTTGATGAGCAGTTTAGTCCCCTTGGGTGCTTGGGAGAAGCAGTGGGGCTTCAGAGCACTGGAGCCTGTCTCTGCTGCCTGGAGGTGGAGAACAGCAGCTGGGAATGGTACTGAAGGGCTAGGAGATACCCAGGGACATCCGTGTAGGTCCTAAACAGGTCCCCAACTCTCCTTCCTCCCCTATGTGTTTTCAGTTTGCTTTTTTTCTCTCTTATCTTTCAGCGTAAAACAAAGTAAACTCAATGCCCTAAAACAAAGTAAACTCAATGCCCTTCTTTCTAGATGAGCAACAGCCACCACATATGGGCAGGAAGGAGAGGAGAAAACCGTCATGAGCAAATGCACAGGGAGAGTTTGGAGCTCAGGGTGCGTTGGCTTCTCTTCTCCTCTTGAACAGTGCAGCGTCAACAGATGTTATTGCCTCGGTGTTTGTGGGCTCTTGATTTGTCACATGCAACCTTCATCTTCTGTTTTAAGCAGATGTTTGGTCTGATCTCTCTGATTTTCTGAAATAGAATTCACTGCAGTATTTGAAAAATAGGGGTCAAGGAAGGACTGCTGTAAAGAACTTTAATGAGTGGGTAGAATAACTGATTTAGTTACAGCAACGCCAGGGGGTCCCCCCGATCAGCTTTTCGGCGGTAGAGACGCCAGGTGAACGTGGGCCCATGCTGAGCAGGGCTGTGCTGATGCTGCGACGTGTCCTGCACGACGCCGGGGTGCCAGCTGAGCGCGCAGCGCGCGCGGCGGTGCCCAGGCCGCGCTCGGAGGCGGCCGCGCGGCCGGCGCTGCCACCTGCCCCTCGCTAGGGCCTGCGGTCACCCCGGGGATTGGGGTGCACACAGGCACCTGCGGGGTAACGGCCAACAGCATCCCGCCAGCGCGGAAACCTCTGCCCTGACACTGGTCCCCAACATCCATAAAACGGGACTAAAACGGGCCGGGAGCCCTCGCGGCGCCCCGTCACCGTTGCCCTCGTGGCCACACTCGACCGGGGGCAGGGGCTCGTTTAAGGGCAGGTTTTTGCCGCGAGCGAGGCGAGCTGTCGATTCTGTGGCGTGTCCAGCTCGCCCGGGCTGCGCCAGGCTTTTTAGGATGCTTTAGGTAAAACCCTCTTAGCCAACATCTCCCTAGAGCACCAGGGCCCCGCAACCGCCCGGGAGCTTCGGCCTACGGAGACCGAGCCCCGCTCTCCTTGTAAAGCTTCCTCCAAATACTCCGGACCGGGACCAAGTGCTAGAGAAGTAGATTTTAATAGATCTTTTTTTTTTTTTCTTACTATGGTGCTGATGTATATGTAATGTTTTAAAAAAAAAAATTATTTGTAAATATGTTTTTACAACTCTACAGATATCACTGGGTCTACTATCTGTAAAATATATACATATAAATATATATATATACTGTTTGTTTAAAATAGAGTATTTTTATTTCATTCCTTAACTCATCCTTACCGCGGTGGTATTGCACTTCAGATGACGTCTGATTACTAATTTGTACTGTACCTGCCCCCAACAGCAACTTGCTCCATTTTACTCAGATTTTTCTAGTTTTCTGTTTTTACTTTGTACATTAAAGCATTGCTTATTTCCCTTCTAAGACCTGTACAGAACCTCTGGAAATGTAGAGAAGACCTGATGTTAACGTACCACTTTTAAAGAAAAGGAAGATTAAAAAAAAAAAAAAAAAAAGGAAAAAATAAAAGCAAGTACAATGAACAGAAGGTGGTTGTTATCAGAGCCGTATCGCGAGCTGGGTTACTAGGCCCGCTTCTGCTGTGTCATGAGGTAATGAGCTGGTGCAGACCCTAGAAGTGTGTTCTGTTAGCAGAAAACTCTCTTCATACAGTCGTTTGGTTCCTGCTGTGGTCCCCGGCATCTCCCCCGGCGCAGCCTTCCCTGCAGGATCTGCGAGGGCTCCTCGTGGCGTGGGCCAGGTGCCGAACTGGCCGGAGCTGCGCTGCGCATGGAGCCGCCTTGCGGAGAGGCTTTGTGTGGGAGCTGGGACCCCACGGCAGCGTGGCTGCACACAGGTAAAATCCAAGGGCTTTGCTTCACTGCAAGGTCAAGCGCAGCTTTGAGCACTTTCCCAAGGAAAGAGGTATTTTGGTATGTGCTTAAACACCCTCCTGAAGTGGGTTTGCAAAATCGGGGGGTTTTCACAGCATAGTGCAACAAAGCATGTTTTTACATTCGTAGAAATGTAGAGGCCACCGCTGGAGGGAATGAGGAATGAGCAAGACTGCGGAGGCATTGGCAAAGCCCAAGGACATTGGGTAAGACGGGCCGTTGCTAACAGTGAGCTGCAGCAAGGTTACCTAGTGAATTCGTTGTCTTAATTGTACGTAGTTTGTTTGGGATTTACAGTACTGGATGTGGAACCTGAACATTAATTGAAAATGCAGACGTGACATGGCAGTCTGTCTGATAGATTCCTTTTCAAAAGCAGTGGGAAAGGGAGAAAGGACAGACCAAGCTTGGGGAAGAGGGAAAACATGCATTTTGCATTGCAGTGTAGGAAAGAATTCTGCTGCATTAACCACACACAGTTTCTCTCTTTGATGTCACGACAAAACAGCTGCATTGTTTATTTTTTAAAAGGAAAAACAATCTTCAAAACAATCTACGTAATTTCTTCCCGATGCTGAAGTCCAGGTATTCATCCAGAAAGCTGTTGAAAATCCCAGCTCCGCCCAGGGCTACCAAGCAGGTTAAAACTACCAAATTCAAATAAAAGCCTGTTAACCTAGAAGAAGGAGAGAGAAAAACACTGTTTCAGTCTGGACATAGTGCATGTGCTGTAAAAGTGCTTGTCCACCCCGATTAAGAGCCATGCAGAATTGAAACGATCTACTACAGCAAAACAAACTTGGGGTGTCTTGGTAACAAACAGTTACTGAAAGTGATTTTTGCTGGGGAGTAGAGGGATTCTTAGTATTCTTGATTGAGGATTCCCTTATCAATGTTTCTAAGAAGAATGTAATCCTAAAACTCAGTGGTTAGGATACTTGCTGGGAATGGAAGAGGGTCAGGATTTTATTTAAAAAAGAATCTTTAGTGTGTTGATCAAAGAGAAGTGCATTATATTTTATTTGTTCCTTTATTTTAGGTCTTCCTACCCGGACTTACTTAATAGTTACTGATTTGCTGGTTGTCATTCATGGCATCATATGAACAACTGCCTCTCTGACTGGGAGATATAAAATTACCCTCCCTATCTTTACTCTGGAAAACTTGGCCTTGCCTTTCTCTTAAGCAACAGCTCTTCACAGCAGGGTGAAGGATTCGTGGCGACTCTAGTGAAGAAGAGTAATGATAACCTCGGTGTAAAAACTGTGGAAAATAGCTTCGTGGTCCAGCCTGTTGCTGCTGCAGGGTTATTCAGTACAAAACAAAAAGTGCTTTTATAGTCTTATTGTTTCATCTATTTCTGCAGAAATATGGATTCCCAAGCCATTTATTTTTATGACTGGCATATATCATGCTACTTTCTTTTTGTGATTGATTTGTGTGTTGGAAGAGAAGCCTTAGGTTAGGCCCGTAGGAAATAGAGTGGCTTTGGCGAGGTAAGAAAATAAATTATGTTTTTGAGCGTACACTCACTAGTAGAGGTGTGTTTTGCTGATGTGCATGTTTTTTTGAAGCAGAATTCATGTCACCAGATGCTGTGCGCTTAGCATTCATTAACTTTGGCTTATCTGAAGCTGTTTCCTTAAGCGTTTGGTGAAAGTTCATCTGCTTACGAGGCCAGATTCGCTTGCCTCCTTTAATGTCTTTTCTATGGCTAGGATAAGTGTGTTAATTTGGCACACTGAGGACAGAATGAGCGCAGTGGGCGAGCAGGAAGTGGTTACGCTCCGTCTCGGCAGCCTCGCATCGTGCAGTAATGCTGTGCTCCTGCCTGCAGTGCCCTGAGGATGCTGATGTGCTGCTCCGAACCAGGCAGGCGCCCACGCGGGCCTTACGGGTGGGTAAAGGGTCTCCAACCCTTTCCATGCAAGCTCAGCCCAGCTGCAGGCCCGGCCTGGAGCTGCCGGCCTGCGTGCGCGTGGTGGCTCCTTACCTCCCTTTCACAGATGCTGCGTAGCCGTGGAAGTACTTGTGGCGGGCAAACATGTAGAGCAGGCCCAGCAGGGCAGCTAGTTCTTGGGAAGGAAAGATTAATGGGGGAGAGAAGAGAAAAAAGGACAAGAAGAAACAGTTAGAAAACATAACAATGAGGATTGTAGGCAGTTGTGGTTTCTAGTTGTGTAACACACGCTGGGCATTTTCATAGCTATCTGTACTCTGGGAAGGAATATTGCAAAAGAAATTATATATGTATATAAATATATATATTTATTTCCCTTAAACATTAACTATAGAAGGCTTTTGATACAGATTTGCTGGCAAGGTGGGCATAGGCCTGTCCGAAAAAATCTAAGGGTATTCCCAAAAAGGAAATCTTAAAAAAAGACAATAATCTGTAGTTCTCACAGTTCAGTTATCCCAGAGACAGGATAGTGGCTGGGGCACTGCTGTTTTATGTTATTTTGGCAGTTTATGTTCAAGTGCTTGTTTTGGGGAGAAAATCTTACGTTGTTAATAACCTCTTGCATTTATAAAGCAGCTTTTCCCCAAGGACATGAGAGGAAGCTGTAGTGCACGTTAGCTTTCTGACCTCCCTGTGGGAAAAGCACGAAGTTACCTCCCTTTGATAGATGGAGCAGGGACTGTAAGGTCGGCTGTGTTATCCAGGACTAAGCATTGCTTTTTTTTTCCCATTCAGACCATGTAAGCAAGTATTACAGAGGATGACTTTTACTCTGTTCTGCTTTAACTGCAGTAAATGTACCTGTGGGAGATGCCTCACTGAAAAAAATGACTCAGAGGAGGTAAACGTAATCCTTTTCTTACGTGTGACAGTGCATATCTGTGTTTCTGTTAGAGAATGCAGGTTTTCTTGATTCAAGTGTCCATCTTGAGCATGTGTACTATTCCTCTCTGCAGTGTAACTTTTAGAAATATAACTGTGCACTTATATTGATTCAGCAAAGATGGGAATCTATCTGTAAGAGAACCCCAAAACAGAATGACTGTTTTGGAGCACAGATAGAAAATGGAGAGGAAAATTAGTTTTCCAGGAAGGAGAAGTTCAGTGAGCTATGACTTAATTTTCCTTTCTCCAGACACATGCACTCTGTGCTTCCAAAACATCCGCTGGGGGTGGGTTAGTAAGGGAAAAGGCCAACATTAGACTCTGCCACAAGTTTTAGCTCTACAAAAGTCCACTTTGTCACTGTTAGGAGATTCTGTGGATCCAGCTTGGAAAGCCCGACAGAGTGAGAGGTTGGAAGGCACAGTAGTGTATGAGTGCAGGACAGCTGGCCAAAATGGCCTGTTTAGGTGCTTTAACAATAATAATAATAATAATAATAATAATAATAATAATAATAATAATAATAATAATGGTTCTCCCAAGTCTTCCCTGCAAACCTGAAGTATAGTAACTATCTGGATGCGGAGATGCTGCTGTTCTGGCTGAGCTCGAATTCTCAGTACTTCTTGTACTCCAAAACAAACAAATGAGTCATAGCCCAGTGGTGCTGCCACTCATCTAGTGTATAAAATCCTAAGGATTTGCTGGCTTGAACTCTGTCTCCTTCAGCTGTGGCTCTAGGGATGAGTCTTCCATGCTGAGCCTCCTCAGGCTGCTGCCTCCGTAGGGACCATAGCTGTGCTTAATATCCCATAGGAATTGTCCCATAATGTGTAAATAGCTGTTGGTGTGAAACATCTGGGAGCTGCTTTTCTGAACGATTCACCCTGGAAATCCACCGAGCAAATGAAAGACAGGGTATGTTCTATGGTCTGCAGAGACCTGCAAAGCTAGTGGGGCTGTGTGAATTCAGTATAGCCCTCCAAACAGAGCACTCAGTGATAACAGATAAGTTAAAGGAAAAAATAAAGCACGCGTCTACTGTAATTGACCACCTGATACAACTGAAGTATAGTTTTATATATATATGTATATATATGCTCAAAAAAAAAGTGTTTACCTTGATTAAAAAACCATCCTGCAATCCAGAGGGCAGTCAGGAATATTGGATAGAACTCTGCACAGTTTTGCCTGCAAAAATAAATTTGAAAGAACATTATTGTGGAAAGGAAAGGAATTGCAGGTGGGATTTTCAAGGACAGTCAGCTTTGGCCTGATTTTGTTTCCTCTAAACTTAATGCCATTGAATGTGGTGAGAACACAGTCAGGCCAGCCTTGATCACCCTTAAAACCCCATTCTTTATCATTTCATGTATGAACACTATTGCTTCAAACACTTTTGTGGTATTTAAACTTAGGCAAGGATACAAGGATACAATTACATGGGAGTGCTTAACAAATAACCCCAAATCAAGTGCTTATGCAGCAGAGAGAGACAGGAAAACAAACACGTCCCTAGACGTGATCTCGCAGCTCCCCATCCTCCCTGCAGGTTTTGTGGGTCCTTGTTCCCTGAACCACAAGAGGAATGGAGACGTGGGCAGTTCGGATTGCTCTGCTGAGGCCAAGGCCACTGCTGAGCAATATCAGGCCTAAGCAGCACGTGATAGATCTTCTTGGGGTTAACACAATATCTTTACTTGTGGGCACCCTTATTTTTCACACCAGTATTTTGTTGGGATGTCTTTTCTTGGTTGTCATTCAGAGTGAATTTCTCTTTAACAAATTATGCAGCCTTCTATGTCTAATGTACGCTGTCATCTGATATATTGTCTTATATAGTCTATGTCTATTTTTATTGCTATCTCATAGAACTACAGTCACAGAAGATGGAATTGTTTTAAACAGTTCAGTATTAAATGCAAATACTTATCCTTAGGGGCATTAGCTAATCACTAGCTGAAGACATGTAGGAAAACCTCATCTTTTTAGGGAAGCTATCCCACAATTATCCACTGGCATGCCCTGGGATTTTCTGTGCTCTTTTCTTCTGCTTTGTGTTAGGCACAGTCCAGGAATCAGGATTTGAACAATGACCAGTTTATCTGGGCTGAACTTATCTCATTATCAGTGAAACGGTAGCCGAACCATCTGGAAAGTGATCTGGGTCTGTGACTGCATTACTTTTCATGTCTTGGGCAAAGGATGCAAACCAAAGGTGATGCCTTTAAGATAAGGTTGCTTATCTTCTGGACTCAATCTTCTTTATATCACAAAAGCTGTAGAAAAGTTAGAAATCCTGGAAGGTTGGTAAAAAGATTCTTGATACAGAAAATTTTTTGTTGAGCTTGATGTTATTCAACAGGTGAAAAGTTACATATATTTTCATGTGTAATTTATAGATAGACACTACAAATTTGAATATAAAATCAAGATGTGTAAAGTACTATAAATGTAAGAATCCAGTGCAATACGTGTACAACAGGCAGTGCAGCTACTTTCTCAAACCAAGTCAGTGGCTCCACGAACGGGGTGATTCGCCCTGGATCACAACCATTTCATGTTAAGAGCAGAGTTGTGCCAAGCATAATTCCCTGGAGATATGTACGGGGGAGAGTTCACCAGCAGTTAACATGTAGGGTCATAACGCAGAGCAGAAGATAAATCCAACTTTTTACAGCTCATTTTACCATGGAATTCTCTAGGGGCACATGAATTAGGTGGATAAGGATGTTGCTCCTTGCCACCATCGTAAGGATCTCCGGACTTACTGCGCACGGAAGGTTCTCTCGAATTCTGGAGCTCCGGTGACAGCTGGGGGCATCACCTTGTGTTTTATCCTCGACCTTCCCACCAGCCAAGCAAAGTGGCCTGCAGGCAAAAACAAAGGCTCAGGTACTGCACAGTTTTGTTCTGAAAAACAAACCAGCAATGCACTCGGGCCCTTAACATACATCAGTTATTTGCAGCGTCAGTCACTTTTAAATCAAAATTGTTGTTCTTTGCACTTCATAGGGTGGAAAGAGAACAGTGTGAGATAAACTAGATTTTCCCCTTAAAAATTTCAAGTCTGAACTTCACATACAACTTTGAGGAAGGAGAAAAAATACTGTTTCATTAATATATCCATTCTCTTTTAGCATTTTATAATTTAATATAGCCTTCTGCTCTGTCTGAATCATAGAACCATGCAGCTTGGGAGCAGTCTAGCTATGCTGTAGCAATGTGCTGTGCTAGTAGTATTGCAATAACCAAATTGCCCGATTGAGATCACCCCTCTTACTTGTTTAATTAGTGCGTGATCATTTTATCTTAGTGATACTAAGAACAGGGAAACTTTGGAATACGTGTGGGATATTATTACAGGCTCCATAAGCAGAAATACGTTAGCCTCCTTTTAAAACGTATTTAGCAATGCCTAGTTTTTTAAATCTGGTGCAGTGCTGTGAACGACGGAGACTACCTACTGCAAAGCAACTAAATATCAGTTGGAAAAAACCCAAGATGCATGCAGTCTATGCATTTCTGACCTTTGTTTCAAGGGTTACTTCTGATATCTGTGTTCCCCATATTCATTGGCATCCCTGTTGCAGAAGTCTGCCTTTAGAAGTCTATTGGAGGTTCACAGGGACAAAAGGCTGGAAAGTTGCTTAACCTTTGGATGGCAATTTCCAGTAGGCAGCAGCTCTATCGGGCTGCTCCCTGTTTGACTTCAAGCTCTCTGGGAGCCTGGAGGTCCTTCTCCCGCCACGTCGTAGCCACCCTTGCGGGAGGCTCCACAGAGTGCCTTTTACCCGAGCTCTGCCCGGATCCACAGATCTGTCTCCCTTCAGGGAGCAGGGGCATTAAAGCCCAGCTGGTGATACTGGTGGGGCTGCGCTGGGCACCTGCCCTGTCCCAGCCTCGCAGCCAAAGCCTTTTCCCGAGAAGGCGCTTTCCCACCTGCCTTCCCTCCCGGAGGTGGTTCCGGGCTGTGTGCAGGTGACTCCCTGTCTTTTCCCTTCCAAGAGCAGCAGGAAGAAGCTCCGAGAGCTCCGTGCAAGGCAGCAGCGTTACAGGGCCCTGCACGGCCTTTGCTTCCAGCCAGACCTGCTGCTCTCGCGCCGTCCCGTGCTGTGTCTGGTGATTCACCCGCTGTTTGACACCTTGCAGCACTTTCAGAAGGGAGGCAGAGCAGCGGGGAGGCTTTAGGGAACACGCTGTAGGGAGAGTGAAATTCATGGAAGCAAAATGATGCCTTTTGAGAAATAGTTTCCTGGAAATGTAACTGAACAGTTGCTTTTTGACCTTGGCCACCTACGTGCCACCCTTCTTTTTGGTGACAAGTGCTACCTGCTGGCAAATCCAGCCTGACTGAGCAGCCAGAAGTGCTGGGCAAGCCTTAGCCTTTCCTGGCACTAGCATTGCCGGCCACAGCAGAGGCCAGCTTTCCTGGCTGCACAGAGCTGTGTGATGCCAGGATTTTCTGCCGAGGAGCTCAGGGAAACTGAGGCAGCCCATCACATGTGAACAAGCTGCAGCAGCCTTGAATAGAGGCAGGGCAAAATTAACGCACTCTAGTAAGAAATCTGACTGAAGTAAGAAGATAAGGGCACTGTAGGGGGGCACAAAGGTTGTGCTTGGGTTTATTGGGCACGGCTAGCCAAGGCAAATCCCGGAGGCCGTGGCGTGGCCCCGGCCTCGGCTGTAAAGCAGTTTGCCTTTGTGGTCAGCACGGTCCTAGGGTCCTAGTTCAAAGGACAGACATTTGCCCGCAGGACAGTCTGGTTAACCCTCTGCAGAAACAGAGATCTGTAGCGAGGTTATGCTGATAGGAAGGCCAAGCATGGTAAAATGCACCTCTAGAGTCCCTTTCCCAGTGTAATGGGAGAGTTGGAGTCACATCTGTCACCTCAAGAGAAAAGAGGAGCGCAGGGTGCAGAACGAGACAGGCGCCAAGCAGGGCCTTGCAGAGAGCTGAGCAGAGGAGTAATTACTGTATTTTCTGCTAACTGTAAGGGACTTGACGTGCGGCTCCTTTGTGTGGAACAGAAAGCAGTGACACAAGTCCACATTTAAGTTGTGTGATTGTGGTTTAGCAAGGGCCACAGCGAGTCATTAGAGCCCTGGGAGAGCCCTTCTGCCCCACGCACGGGAGGTGCTGTGGGGAGCGCTGCAGAAAGCCCTGCAGCAGGGTTTTCACAGCCTGCTCTGCACCCAGCCCCGCTCGCTATCAAGTTGTTCAGGTCTTGCAGGCTAAATTACATGGCTTAGGTAGTTACAAAGTGTGCTTGGCTTGCCTTTGTTGGCTTTTCTTTCTTTCTGTTTTTTTCAGGTGGCATTTATGATTACTGAGTTAATATATTTACTTAGAAAGTACAGGAGAAAGCCAGCTTTCAAGTAACATTACTCTCAAACACTGCGTGTGTTAAAACCCCCCTAGAGAAGGTGGTATTTGCATGGAAATGTAGGATAGTGCATGTTAATTTGCATGACCTTGCCTAACAGCCTTTTAAGGAAAAATCAGCTGCTTTTTAGTAATTTCTTGCTGGAATTGTGATTTTTAAAAGGCAAAGTTCAGAGAGATGCTTGAAAATGCACAAGTACTGGTGTCCTCCCTGCTGGATTCTGGCCCCTGTCACTCACTGGGGATTCACGCTGTTCGTTTACTGGATTCCCCTCGTTTCCCATAAATGTATTCTAGTCTCTCGAGCAAATCTTTGCTGTTTGCAGCTGGATTCCTGACTGGAAGCCCCTTGCTGCCTTGTTTCTGCTCTTTCTGGCCCGGAGCGTTTCTCGCATGGCGTAATTTTTAAGCGACCCGATTCTTGCATAACTCTCAGTTCTGCTGCACTAAACCACAGTTCTGCTGCACTGAAGCATGTCTTTCTGCCCCTCTGATGACTGCCAGGCGAGACCTGACTTGCAGCACTGCGTCAAGGAGGTCGTGTTGCCTCTTAGCACCTTCCTGCAGAGCAGAATAAACAGGAGAGCACACAGTGCACTGCAGGTGCTAGGTATTTGGTGTGGATTTTGCTTGCAGCAATTGGTTGCGCTCAGGGCTGCTTCCTTTGCCTGCATATAACTCCTGCTTATAGTACCAGTTGTGCAACTTTCGGGGAAAAAGGTGTTTTGAACACCTTTAATCTGCAGTGATTTAGGCAAGCTGGGAAGAGTGCTGAAAGTAAAACAAGCTGTGGTGGTTTGAATCAGAGGAGTAGATCAGATTCTCACCAAGATTTCTCCTCAGACTTCATGTCAGACTGCCAGTGTAAGTTAAAACCCAGGCTATCTCTTGTCTTCTCTGTAATTTTACCTACAATTAACTAACGTGCATGAACCAACACAAGGAAGATCATACGTATTTCTGCCTCCTTTTCCAGGGTCAGTATCTGTACAGTTCCTTGAATTTTGTGAATTTTGAGCCCGCTAGACTAAAAAGACAAACAAAAAACTCTTAGCACTTCTACTCTGTTAAAAATTAAATCAGAAATCAGGCTAGTTGAACTCTCACAGAAGTTGGTGCCAGCAGATACTGCCAGCAGACAGAAATGCAGCTGATCTGGAAATATAAAAACAGAGCATGATACAGGCAACCCCGGATGTTACAGTTACATGCTCCATCCCTCCAAAGACATGCAATTTAGAAAATTAAATTTTAGATGCTTTATATTTGCCTTTTGTTGTATTAGGCTTTTTTTGAGGGTCACGTTCTCAAGCTTTTCTTCCACCAAGCAGCAACATTATTTCAGCAGCTGGGGCTTAAGAACAAGCAAACAAGCAGTCACACCATATTCAGTAATCTGGCAGTGCTGCTTTGCCCTTTGAAATGAGGGCAAAGCAATTATCTTTAACTCAGTCTCATTCTGACTTAGCAAAATTGCCTTCTAGATGTATCTTGTTTTCTGGTGTAAACACAACCATATGAATCAACGTATCCCAAAGAAAATAACAGCAAGCCTTAAAAACACTGCAGCAAACTTGGACTGATACATGGAAAAAGCCATGGCCTGGACTTGCCCGCTTCCTTCCCTAGTCATCTCTCCCAATAAAATGGGGAAAATGTATGTCCTTGAATCTTAGCACTGTATCTGTATGGGATAAAATAAATCTATTTAGAGTCTTAAGAAAATCTAATGATAAGAACATAATATGATTTGCACTCATAGCATTGCTGCCTGCTCTATAGGATTTCTTTTCTTCTTTTCTTTTTTTCTTTTTTTTTTCCCCTTTTAGATGCTTAATACTATGCAGTCTATTTCAGGGAATAATTTTATAGCAGTTTTTGTCCAGTATTCATGTATTTGATTTGACAAATTTACTCTCACTTTTGATGTTTTCAGTTGCTTAATATTCAGGTCCCTAACAAAGAATCAAAACTGAGGCAGAACGTGGCTTCTGGGTAACTTTACAGCTAGTTACAAGCTCCCCCAGTAGTACAGTTCTAAAAAGTCAGTAAACAAAACAGAAATTGAAAACAAATTAGTTTCTCCCACAGGGAAAAGCAATCTGTCCCACTGTGCCAACGCCCTCTCAGACTGCAGAGAGGGTAAATAACGTTGCAGCGAGAAAAACCTTAGGAGCCCTCAAAAATTCAAGTTACAAAAGAGCTCGTTCAGCGCAAGATCATTCCAGCAGCGGGAAGCTCCCCGAGGCCCAGCCGCTCCATCCCACGGATCTTACTTTGCTGGAAGGCGGAGAGAAGGGTTACGGCAGCGAGCAGAACCAAGTCTCGAGCCATGCTCCCGGCAGCTCCGGCACGGCACGCGAGCAGGATGTGCGTGTGCAGGAGGCAGGGCCCAGGAGCAATGAGGAAGAACAAGGGCTTTTCGGGACTGTAACAAAGATCAGCCTGGGCGGGGGGAAAAACAGCTTTAAAACTGGAGCGCGGAATTGCAAGCGTTTTTAGTTGTTGGAAAGTTAAAATAACAGGCGGCCAGCTCTCGCCTGTGTGGAAACACGATGAGAACAACACCAGCCTGTCCGCCGGCGCCCCTGTGGACTCGGCTGTGCTTTTGTGTCCTGGGTTTTGGCGCAGCCTCTCGGAGGGGAGGACAAGGGCTTGTTGTTGTGTGCGTGCTATTCCCAGCGCAGCCAGGCGCAGGCTGTCCCCGGCAGCGCCGCTCCACGGCAGCCGCTGCAGCGAGGCTTTGGGCTCTCCTCCTTCTCCTGCGTTCCACGTTTTTGCACAGTGTGCTCAACTTAGGCTCCTGTGGATGGCACGGCACCCACTTACTAATAGCACACAGGAAGGAATTATTCGGGACAGTTCCAGGGGTAAAACTACTGGGAAACAAAGAAAAGTCTCCCCTGATTTTCCTGTCTGCAGTTTGTTTTCTATAACTTAGGCCAAGAATTAAGAAGGATCATCTCAGGAAATTTTTTTTTTTTTAATATATAATAGCATACCTTAACTAATAGCAAGCTAATTGTTGTCAGCCTCTATGATCCCTAAAAAAAGCTTACATTTTTTTTTTAAACTTGCTGATTTTTAAAATATAAGTTCTTAGGTGTTAATTCAGTATATGGTTCTTTACAAAGACTGAAACAGTGAATACACCTCTAATAATGGTAATTGGATATTTTTTGTTTAGTAAGTCTTTAATTGCCGATTTAAGTACCTTAATTACTGTTGTTGTTGTTGTTATAGTAGGGCCAAACCATAGGGTTTGGCTTTCTGACAAGGCAGTTCTCTATGTTTTTAAAGGCTGGCTCAGGAATGTTTAAAGCGTCCTCACCCTGCTGATACAGGGGAGTAAAGAAAAACTAACAGAGACACTCACTGAAAGGTTTGAAAGATGATTTTGAAAAGCTAAAAACACAGGAGCTGAACACTTTGAGGTCTTCAGCTGGTGTTAAGATGGATTTTTTTTTGTACTTCAAAGCATGCTAACTTAAAAATGGCAATGGACATGGAAAACCCGAGAAACTGTGACTTCCAGGAGGCAGGAATCCCATCTGGGGCATGAGGTTAAATGCACAGGGTGATGCCAGGTAGGTGGCCAGGTAGGTGGGAGCTAGAGGCCGCTTGAGGCTGCCAACACTTTTCATTGACCTTGGAGACTTTGCAGTTGCCTATATATTTTTGCAGGCAACTCGATCTAGAGTTAGCATCCTTCTCTGCCTAATCCGGGAATAGGAAGTCAGACCGTGTATGAAATGAGGCTCTTGGATGGGGTTTATTTCCAACTGTGCAAGTACAGGAGTCCCTCTGGTGCCCAGGGCTCTTATGCTGCAGTTATGCAAGCTCTGGTATATCAGTAGGGGCCAGCACCAACTAAGAGATTTCTGCACTTACGTCAGGACATTTGGCAGCTGCTCCGTGGCTAATTTTCTAGCTTGTTCATGATGAATATAATTTGATTTTGTGTTTCTTCCATTTGCAAGTATTTTATAGGTGCTTTGCTTTCTTTTGTCAGTGTAAACGCATGTGGTCCTCTAGCTGTCCAGAGCCAAAAGGCAAGAGAGGTGCTGAACAGTGAAACATAATATAGTGTCACGTGTAAAACTTAAGTTTTTCATATTTGGAAACAGTGGTTGTTTTTTTTTCCCTGCACCATTGTACTGCTGCTCTATGGGAAAAATAAGTTGCTCTAAATGAAATTTACGGAGGATGGGAGGGACTTGCTAGGCGCAGGGCGGATCTGTGGCGGCAGCCCTGGCGCCCCAGCTTTGCGTGGGGCTCGTGCCGCGTGCCGTGCCCTGCTTCCCTGGCAGAGCCGCCCGAGGAGGCTGCTCCTCTTCCGCGCCGCCGGAGAAGCTCCCGGTGACCTGGCGGGGAAGGGGGGACCCCGCAGCGCGCAGAGCTGTTGGCACCAGAGAGCAGATGGCCAGGGCGGTGAGACCGCACGCACGGAGCATGAGCCAGGCCGCTCGCGTGAGCTCCCTGTGCAGAGTTACGCGCTCGGAACTGCTCGGTTTCGTCTCTGGAAGACCTGAAAGGAGCTGTGCAAAGGGCAGGGTTTGGTCCGTGCTGCTGTGGCACTTATTAGAGGCTGATCATGGCTGGTGCTGCAGTGTCTCTTATGTCTAAACACTTTCTGGGGCGCAGATTGTGAAGAGCAAAGAGGCCCCTCTGGCCCCTCATACACTTCACTGGAAACGTTCTTGGCATAAGTCAACACTTCTACAAAGAATGAGGGTAGCTCATGTGTCAAAACTAGTTTAGCTGCAGCAGTGCCAGGAGCGAGCTCTGGACTTTACTGTTTACTTTGCCTTGCAACCATATAGTACAAAGAATGTTGGCCTGTATGGCGCTGATCTGTACGCAGGCTTTAAATTTATCTGCATTATGAAACAGGTGAGGCAGGGAGAGGAAAACCCTTTATCTTGTCCAGTGTTCCTGCTGCTGCCTCCCAATACCAGCTGTAACCCTTGTCTGCTGTTGTTGCACATGCACTTGGAGTAGGGCTCTGGGGAAAAGACGAACAACCCATTTCATCTGCTTCATTTTAACATCTGGTTGTTCTGAGTCCTCTAATTTGCAGAAACACTGCCCCAAACCCTCTTCTCCATTTTGTTCTCGTTCTCCCTACATTGTCGAAATGAGCTCAGGCTGGTTTTGGTGATGATGGAAGAGTAGATGTAAAACGATTAAAGAAATGAGCAATCTGAGGTCCATATTCTTCCCAAATCTATACTTTTTTTGTAGTCTTATATCATCTGCATCAATATTGGATGTAATTCAGAGAAGATTTTGTTTCCTAGTGCTGGGTGTACAAAAGATGGATGTGCTTTACCTCTCATTGGTGTTGGAGTTGCTGTATGCACAGAAACTCCCACGTACCTGTATGTCCACAGGCCTCTTCCATTTTTTTATGGCCTTTGGGCACCACTCATGTTCCTTTCATTTGGGGTTTTGCAAGAACATGGCATGCAATAATGGATTGGGATAGCTATTTTATTGCATATATGTATAAATTATAAGCTGTGCCAGTCTTACTTTTTGCCCCACTGTAGTCATACCATGACTTCGAAGTAGAAGCAAAAAGAGAAGTCTAGGTCAGGATAAGGAATACCTTGACCAGAGTATCGGAACCTTTTGGAAAATGGTGTGTGAGCACACATGCATGGCACTATAAAAGCTGTGTGTGTGAGGTTACCAGACACTCCCTGGGCCACACAGCTGGGAAGGAGCTAAATATTCCCCAGCTCCCATGTCTCAGAGCTCCTTCTAACTTGTACCCTACACGTTTCTGGAACAGGTTGTTCCTGTTCTCTGGAGATGCTTTGCAACGCGAGAAGGGAATTCTGCAAGCCCTGCCTCTCCCATTTGCAGAAGGGGAGGGAATGCAGTATACAAAGCTGTTTTACCTTCTTTCCTTTGATTTACTTGCAAGAAACACAGAGTGCTGCAAAATCTAGCAGCCTGGGGCCTGGATGTTGTGGGCCTTGCATTCATATAATCTCTGAGGGAAAAGTTACAGAGAGTCACTTTTTTTTTTTTGGGGGGGGGGGGGTGTCAGTGCTTATAATTGTAAGCACTGGAAAATTAAGTGCTGGAAAATTAAAATCAGCTCTCTTTTCCATATGGAAATCAGCATGGGTTACATTTAGAGACTCCTTATGAGGCTAGAGCAGCCACGGGCCATTATGATCCTCTTGCCTGCATAATCTGGATTGGCAGCATTTCTACACTTAATAAGCGATGGGAGCTGAGAGCCAGGGCTGCTTACAGGAGTGTGAGACCCCTTCCCGCCCCACACAGCCCCACGTCTCTGTGCAGGGAGTCTCACCTGGTCGTCCTGGAGGATCCAGGGACTGCTCTGCAAGCTGGAGGGCTGGTAGGACTTAGGTCTGGATCAAAAGGAGGGTTAAAGTCTTCCCGGTTGCTATTAACTGATCGGAATCAGGTGCCCAGCCCTGCGTGACAGCTCTGATATGTAGGATGCAGGGGATTAAAGGAGAGGCAGCAGAGATTTGAAGGCTTGCATCACTTGTATGCCTCTCGTCTCCCTTTCCAAAGCCTTATGGGCTTGTGACCAAGTAGTGCTTGCTGTTTTTTTAGCTTGCTAACCTTGGAGGAAGAGACGTATTAATGAGTGAACCAACTCAGTTCCAAGGATTATTGTCACCTTTACTTCCAGAAGCAAGTTTTATTTCGCGTTTGTGGAAATCCGCTCTACGTAGGAGGCAGGAGATGCACTGTGCTCGTGCCCGGCCTCGTCCTGCCCCGTCTCTGCTGCTCGCCCTGTCCGCTCGTGGCGGCTGCTGCTTCCCTCTCCCTTGGCAGATGCCCGCTCTCCCGGCCGCCTCTCGCCTTCACAGCGACTGCGTTTTGGCGTTTGGTGCTCGGGGACCGGACCGGCTCTCCCGTGCCGGCCGGGTTGCCTAGCAACATGTTTCTCTCTCCCCGGATAGTCCTTTCGCTGGCGCTGATGCAAGCCCTGCAGTGAGAGCAATAGCCCAGCAGCGCTTGCTCTTGGTGCTCTTTGCTTATTATTTACAGTTACTGCCATGAAAGGGCTTACAAATTTATCTTCGCATCCTTCCTTGTTTGAAATGTGTTTTACAGGCTTTCCTGGCGTGCCTGCAAAATCCGTGAATGGTCACTGCGTTCCAGGGCACGTGGCATGCGATCTTGCCTGTGTTTCCTAGAGTGGTTTCTTGTGGTGGATATATCTGTTATTCAGTCCCATATCCAAGGTTTTGTCTTCAGAAAGACTCAGGCTTAAGTGCTTCAAACTGTGGGTCTCATTTTTAGATACCCTATACATTTAACCAGCTCTGTTCGGAATCCCTTTCTGTTGCTAACATCAATATTATAAAGTTTAAAAAATTCCATGAGTAGAGATAAAGCAGCAAGATCTGTCCCTGATGTAAGGGCTTTTGTGTTTGCTCTT